AATGAGAACACATGGACACAGAGAGGGGAGCACTACACACTGGGTCTGTTGGGGAGAAATGGGGGAGGGACGGGGGGTGGGGAGGTGCGGAGAGAGAGCATGGGGAGAAACGCTAGATATAGGTGAAGGGGAGGAAGGCAGCAAATCACACTGCCATGTGTGTACCTATGCAACGATCTTTCATGTTCTTCACATGTACCCCAGAACCTAAAATGCAATTTAAAAAAAGTGAGCAATGAATAAGTGAGTTAAGAACTTTCTATTTGTGGGAATAGGGAGAGAGGAGAGGACTTCTAATATTTTGTATGCTATGGGGAGAGGCTATTCCTCATTCTGAGGACCTTGCACCTGGAGCATGGGTAGGCAGTGGTGATAGATGAAGGAGTTACCTGCTCATGGGTCTTTAGGGACAGGGTTAAGGCGGAGTTTGGTTGGACTAAGGACGGTGCTGGAGAATTGGTGGAGGATGGTAATTGGCGGGTCTGTGGGTGCTTCGGGAGGTCTTATTAATCTGGAAAGATGGTACCAAGAGATAGGTCCTCAGAGTTTAGCTGTGGTGAGGGTTGTTAAAAGAACGTGAAAGGCCGGGCGCGGTGGCTCAGCCTGTAATCCCAGCACTTTGGGAGGCCGAGGCGGGTGGATCACGAGGTCAAGAGATCGAGACCATCCTGGTCAACATAGTAAAACCCCGTCTCTACTAAAAATACAAAAAAAACTAGCTGGGCGTGGTGGCGCGTGCCTGTAATCCCAGCTACTTAGGAGGCTGAGGCAGGAGAATTGCCTGAGCCCAGGAGGCGGAGGTTGCGGTGAGCCGAGATCGCGCCATTGCACTCCAGCCTGGGTAACAAGAGTGAAACTCCGTCTCAGAAAAAAAAAAAAAAAAAAAGTGTGAAAGAGACCTTCCAACTTTGGTTTAAGTCTTGCTGTGTTAAGATGTTGTGTTTTTTTGTTTTCTTTTGTGTTTTGTTTGTTTTTTGAGACAGTGTCTTGCTCTGTCACCAGGTCCCAGGCTGGAGTGCAGTGGCACGATCTTGGCTCACTGCAACCTCTTGCCTCCTGGTTTCAAGCAATTCTCCTGCCTCAGCCTCCTAAGTAGGTGGGACTACATGTGTATGCCACCATGCCAGGCTAATTTTTGTATTTTTAGTAGAGACAGGGTTTCACCATGTTGACCAGGGTAGTCTCGATCTCTTGATCTGCCCGCCTCGGCTTCCCAAAGTGTTGGGATTACAGGCATGAGCCACCGCGCCCGTACCATTTTCTTTTATTTTTTCTTTAAGGGATGAGGTTTCACTGTATTGCCCAGGCTGCTCTCGAACTTCTGGGCTCAAGCGATCCTCCCGCCTCGGCCTCCCGAAGTGCTGGGATTATAGGCGTGAACCACCATGCCCGGCCTGTGTTAAGAGTTTTTAGGAAGACATGTTCTCCTGGTAGGAGGGTCCAGTTTGTGATGCCGTCCTGGGGCTTTGGGAGGGCCTGGTCTGCTTGTTCACGGAGGAGACGGCAGATGAGGGAAAGTGTTGGGAGGTATTCTCCTAGCTGAGAGTTAGAAGGGGAACTGTTTTGTAGGAGGAAGGGTGTCCATACATTAATTCAAATGGGCTGAGGAAGGAGGGTGCTTTTGGGCTGGGTCTGATGTGGGTTGGGGCTGTGGGCACAAGGGAGGTCCAGGGTTTCTGGACTTCAAGAGTGAGTTTAGTTATCTGAGTTTTAAGGATCCCATTTGACCTTTTCCTGATGACTGGGGTTAGTATGGGATATGGAGGTGCCACTGGACGCTGAGGGACTGAGAGACTTGTTGGGTGACTTGGGACATGAAGCTAGGGCCACTCTCTGATTGCATGGTGCACAGGAGGCTGTTAAAAGAATTTGGGAAACTACTGCAGCTGTTTCTGAGGAGATGGGAAAGACTTCCACCCACCTGGAGAAGGTGTCTACAAGAGTAAGAAACAGTGTTCTTAACAGTAGGGATGAAGGTAAAGTCTATTGCCTGTCTTCCCCTGGGAGTGTTCCTCTTAGCTGATGTGTAGGGATGGGAGGAGAGCAGAGGACTCCTTGGGACGAAGTGACAGAGCACATACAACAATTTGAGGTTATGTCTTTCAGTGAGGTAAACAGGTGAGGGGAAGAGAAATAAGGGTGAAGAAGTAGGTACAGGTGAAACGCACTGATATGGAAGGACCGGTGAAGAGATGTTAGAATTTCTTTAGTTTTTGATCTTTGACTATCCAGTTCCCTTGGAAAGAGACCCTTTGTTGCAGCAGTGACGGTTTTTCAGTGGGGGAATACTGGGTTTGGGTGGTGGGGTTAATGAGGAAGAGAGGTGCAGGTGCAGAAAAAAGGGAGGCTTCTTTTGCTGCCTGGTCGACCTTTCTGTTTCCTCTGGAGATATCATCTGACCCTGTTTGGTGTCCTTGACAGTTTACAACCCCTGCTTTAGCCAGGAGGTGGGCAGCTGGAAAGAGTTGGTAAATAAGGGGCCATTAAGAAATCCTCTCGCTGGGCACAGTGGCTCAAGCCTGTAATCCCAGCACTTTGGGAGGCCGAGGCGGGTGGATCACGAGGTCGAGAGATCGAGACCATCCTGGTCAACATGGTGAAACCCCATCTCTACTAAAAATACAAAAAATTAGCTGGGCATGGTGGCACGTGCCTGTAATCCCAGCTACTCAGGAGGCTGAGGCAGGAGAATTGCCTGAACCCAGGAGGCGGAGGTTGCGGTGAGCCGAGATCGCGCCATTGCTCTCCAGCCTGGGTAACGAGCAAAACTCCGTCTCAAAAAAAAAAAAAAAAAAAAAGAAATCCTCCCTCTTGCCAGATGGTGGCGTAAGAATGGAGAATGTGATGGGCATATTTGGAGGCAGTAAAAATGTTGACTTGTTTGCCTTTAAGGAGGGTTAGGGCGCTGGTGAGTCTCCAAGTTCTGTCTTTTGGGAAGAGGTCCCTGGGGGTAGGAGTTTAGCTTCAATTACTCGGTCAAGGGAGACGACTGCACACCGAGCAATTTTATGGGAGTCAACTGATTTGGAAGAGGAGCCGTCTATAAATAACTAGTCGTCAGGACTGGGGACAGGTTCGGGGAGATATTAGGGAAATGAGGCTGTGGGTGATCAAGGATTTCGGTACAGGAGTGTGTGGAAGAGGAGGGAGGAATATACGGGAAGTAGAGATGTGGGATTGAGGGGAGCACATCTGGAGACGTGGAACTCGGTTTTCAAGAAAGAGGGCATGAGTAATTGGCTACAAGGAGAAAGTGCTCAGTGCTCCAGAGAAGAGGAGATCTTGTAGATTTTGTGGGCTGTGGACTGTGGTGTCTTGACTGAATGTTTCTTGTTTTGTAAGGGTAGGGTGGCAGCTACTGCTAGCTCTGTGGGGCAGGTGGGCCACCCTGGGCCGTGCTGTCTAGTTATTTAGAGAGGTAAGGTATGGGAGCGAAGGAAGGAGGATTTCCTTTATTGTTGGCCAAGGACACCAAGGGCTATTCCATGGTTTTTGGCTGTGTAGAGCAGGCGTCCCCAAACTTTTTACACAGGGGGCACGTTCACTGTCCCTCAGACCGTTGGAGGGCCGCCACATACTGTGCTCCTCTCACTGACCACCAATGAAAGAGGTGCCCCTTCCTGAAGTGCGGGGGGGGGGCAGATAAATGGCCTCAGGGGGCTGCAGTTTGGGGACGCCTGGTGTAGAGAATGAAGGGCGGAGACGTGTCAGGCAAAGACAGAGTAGGAGCTTTAAGTTTGTGGAAGCTAGGGATTATTTTGTGTGAAAGATTTTTAGGGGCTGACTGAAAGGGCTTTTAGCTGCTTCATAGAGTGGGAGGGCTAGGAGGGCAAAACTTCAGAATCCATATTCTGAAGAAGCCTGCTAGTCCTAGGAAAGAGGATTTCACCCTTAGAAGTGGATGGGGGCAGGCCGTCTATCAGGCTGCCTATGCAGGGGTCATGGCTGGGGTCCCGGGGGAGAGCTGGACTCCTAAGTACATCACTGTTGGGGTGGACAGTTGTGTTTTGGAGGGGAAAACCCTATATATCCTTTACTAGCGAGAACGTTTAGAAGGGTAATAGTGTAAGTCTGAGTCCTCTAGGGAGGGGCTGCAGAAGAGGCCATCCACGTACTGGAGGAGCCAGCTAGGGGGAGGTCTAGGGGAGTGAGGTCTTGAGCTACAGCTTGCCCTAAGAAATGGCTATTGGCCGGGCGCGGTGGCTGACGCCTGTAATCCCAGCACTTTGGGAGGCCGAGAGATCGAGACCATCCTGGTCAACATGGTGAAACCCCGTCTCTACTAAAAATACAAAAAAGTAGCTGGGCGTGGTGGCGCGTGCCTGTAATCCGAGCTACTCAGGAGGCTGAGGCAGGAGAATTGCCTGAACCCCGGAGGCGGAGGTTGCAGTGAGCCGAGATCGCGCCATTGCACTCCAGCCTGGGTAACAAGAGCGAAACTCCGTCTCAAAAAAAAAAAAAAAAAAAAAGCAATGGCTGCTATCTCTAAAGCCTTGGGGAGGACTGTCCAAGTAAGTTGTTGTGACTGGAGGGTTTCAGGGTCATTCGAAGTGAAAGCGAAGAGATCTTGGGAGTCAGGGTGAAGAGGAATGGTAAAAAAGGCATGTTTGAGGTCTGTGACAATGCAATGGGCTGTATCTGGAGGGATGAGGGAATGGAGCATATATGGTTTGGGGCTGGGAATTACCGCGTGGATGGGAAAGACCACCTGGTAGATAGCCCAGAGATCCTAGACTAGCTGATAGGAGCCATCGGCCTTTGTGACAGGGAGTACAGGGGTATTGTATGGAGAATGAGTTGGCCTGAGGTGGCTAAAAATACAAAAATCAGCTGGGCATGGTGGCAGGTGCCTGGAGTCTCAGCTACTCACAGGCTGAGGTGGAACACTTGCTTGAACCTGGGAGACGGGGGCTGCAATGAGCCCAGATTGTGCCGCCCTGCACTCCAGCCTGAGCAACAGAGTGAGAATCCGTCTCAAAAAAAGTGAAACTGAACGGGGTGAGGTGATGTTACCAGTGTCTTAACAGGCTCTGTCTGGTCATAGAGTGGACAACAGACTGTGGGGTTGAGGGAGGAGGAAGATCAAACTGAAGGCTAATCCCATAGTCCAGGTGAGGAGGAATGAACTGGAGTTGTGGCTTGGGCAATGTGGCTAGATTCTGGTTTTGTGTTTTTTAAAGGGGCAACTCAGATTTTTAGAGAGCTTGAGTAGATTCAGCAATCACCCCAGGGTTTTTGGTCTTAGCAGCTGTAGCATCAGGCGTAATACTCACTGAGGATATCAGGAGTTTCCTTTTGGCCATTCTGAGGGGAAAAAACACCAATTGCTTTTGCTCTGCTCTCCCCTCCAGCAGCAGTCAGCACAGAGTACTTCTGTGCCCAGATGTGTGGACACTTTTCCTCATACACCAAGTTATTTTCTACGGTGGACATCACATCCCATAGGGTAAGTCTCAGTCCCATGGGACTGTCACCCACCTCCTTTTGATGCCAGTTCCAAGCCCCAGGATGTTTTTTACCTGTGCTTTTGACTGACTTGTTATAAATCAGCTTCCCATGACCCCTTTCTCAGCTTCCATTAGTTTGGTACAGCCAGTCACAAAACTCGACGCTTTAATTTTTCAGTTTATTTTAAAGAAGATTTATTACAAAGGTTACAGATGAAGAGACCCAGAGTTTTTATGATCTCCTCCAAGGGCACACCACCCCCCAGGAACACAGGAAATTCCAGGTGTTTAGCTATCTGGAAATTCCCCAAACCCTCTCTTTATGGGCTTTTATGGAGGCTTTATGACATATCCATGGTTGGTTAAATTATTTGCCAATGCCAAGTTCCCTCTCCTCTTTTTGAGATTGGGGTGCAGGGCTGAACTTTCCAGACCTCGAAACCCAATGTAGTCTTTCCCCTGACAACTACCCATCCTGAAGTTATCTAGGGGTTACCAATCATCATCAGTCAACTCAATGCCATTCAAAGTCACTTGTAAATTTGAAAGTGTCATGAATTTTAGGAATTCTGTGCCAGGAAAGGAGATGACCATATATGTATTTCACAACATGACAATCACGTTAAGATTCTGAAATGTATTAGATACTAGTTAGTGGAGTTATCAAATGGGCAGCAGGACACATTGATGCAACTATCTGGGGAGGGGTTGATATTGGAGGTATCCGATATGTGGTAGCTACTGTGTGGACCAAGATGAGTGAGTCATTGGTCACATTTGCAAGGGGCAACCTTCAGATTATGGTGGTGACATTACTAGAGAGATAGGAAATGGAGGTTGGGTTTCCTGCTCGGGTACCTGGTGATGGTATTGGACTTAGTGAGGGAGGTAAATGGTGATAAAGGGAGGATACATCAGATGGCCTAGTCTGGCAGGTAACATAGGCTTCCCAGGGATTAATATACATGAGATGCATCCAGAAGCATAGGAGTAGCTGAGAGAAGATGACAGTCAGGCTGGAGCTTGTCCTAAGTCGCCACTCTGTGGCCACACCAAGATACTGAGATGACTTTGGTGTGTTCTGGGGTGTTTCATGGAGGCAAATAAGGTCATCTTGTGAGAGTTGGCAGGCCCAAGATTGAGGAACAATGGATCTGGGCTTTGGATGGGGTTAGGTGGACAGAAGTAACTCATAATTTCTGAAGATAGCAAATGCAGCACAGAAGTAAAATAAGGCCATAAATATCTTAAAATACTAATGGTTCTTTTTGCCTGTGGATTTGGGCCTACCACTGCTATTAGGAAGCACTGGAATTGTGTGATATTTTGGATTCCTTTTGAATTAACTAAGACTACTGTGGATGAAGGCAGCCACATTATGGTGTGAGCCCTAAATTTAAGGCCACGATCATGTGCTACTTTCATTCATGTCTGGTAATACCAGTACTACCTCAAATGGTTTGAGTGCAAATTCCCCTTCCCACTCTGCTCTTTAGGATAATGTGTCCTAGTCTAACAACCCTTTTAATCAAGAGGACTAGGCAGACTTCCTGGTTATTTTTGTAGCAAGTTTGAATTTTATTTCTGCCAGCAGAGTTATTCAAATAATCCAGTTATAGCTGGTATGGTGTTGCATGCCTTTGGTCCCAGACACTTGGGGGGTTGATGTGGGAGGATCTCTGGAACCTGGAAAGTTCAGGCTGCAGTGAGCCATCATCGTCCAGTATGCTCCAGTAGGAGTGACAGAATGAGACCCTTTCTTAAAAATTAACACAAGCCAGTTGCATCCTTTCAAGGGAATCAGGGTCTATCATACCCTCTTGATTCAGCAAAGCTTGCATACCACAATCCCTGGTTACTCTCTCTTTTTTTGAGATAGAGTTTTGCTCTGTTGCCCAGGCTGGAATGCAGTAGTGCAATCTCAGCTCACTGCAACCCCTCCTCACAGGTGGAAGTGATTCTCCTGCCTCAGCCTCCTGAGTATCTGAGATCACAGGGATGTTCCACCACGCCTGGCTAATTTTTGTATTTTTTAGTGTTGCTCTCGAACTCCTAGCCTTGCGATCCACTCTCCTAGGCCTCCCACAGTGCAGGGATTACAGGCATAAGCCACTGAGCCCGGCCCCTGGTTGCTCTCTCATATATAATGCAGCCCCCACGTGGATCTTTGTGGTGAATGGTGTCCTCTTCTCTTAGCTGTGAGCATATCTGATTAATGAACTTTCTTGATGACTTGTGTTCAGCATCAGGTGTTGTGTGTGTGGCCATCACCATAACCCCAGGGTTAAACTCCTATCCTCACCAGTATTAGGAAGAGGAATTAAAATACTTTAACTTCTGGCATGGCCAGAGAGAGGCCTATGGTGTGGGGCAGTAAGGTGGTGGCGGCGGCAGCGGCAATTGGCGTGTGTTTGTGGTGTCCAAAGGTGTGAAGGGTGTGTAGGTACAGAGGGATTATGTCGGAAGTACCTAAAGCACTGCATCGGGATTCGTGTGACCTTTGTTATGCCAGGAGAGTTGCTGGAAAGAAGGGGATGGAACCCCTTATTTCAGGACCAGTTTGTTCAGCTGCCTCTCATTGCTGATGGCTATGTGTTATGATCAGTGGTTCCATGAGGACACAGTGGCACTAGTGACAAAGTTTCTCCTCTGAGTTGGAGAACCTGAGAGGTAGAAAATGGGCAAAGGTAGATATGTTGGGGAAGTGAATTGTGCATTCTTGTTTTCTTGGATTCCAATTTTGTTTTGTCGCATTTCACCAGGCGCAATGACCACTCATCTGTCATCCCAGATATTCAGAGGCTACTTGGAGCCCAGGAGATGAGGTCAACCTGGAGAACCTAACAGATCCTCATCTCTAAAAATAAATAGGAAGGAATTCTTTTTTTTTTTGTTTTTTTGAGACGGAGTTTCGCTCTTGTTACCCAGGCTGGAGTGCAATGGCGCGATCTCGGCTCACCGCAACCTCCGCCTCCTGGGTTCAGGCAATTCTCCTGCCTCAGCCTCCTGAGTAGCTGGGATTACAGGCACGCGCCACGATGCCCATTTTTTGTATTTTTAGTAGAGACGGGGTTTCACCATGTTGACCAGGATGGTCTTGACTCTTGACCTCGTGATCCACCCGCCTCTGCCTCCCAAAGTGCTGGGATTACAGGCGTGAGCCACCACGCCCGACCTGGAATTCTTTTTGTAATATTTAGTTTCCTGTGGGATATCAAGTTACTGGTGACCCCAAGAAAGTGGGATGTGACTAAAAACCTCTGGAGGCTCTGAGTAAACAGCAAACTGTCCTCATGAAAGCAACGGGAGTATTGAGGGCAGTCACACCCCAGGTCCTGTGCTCCTTGAGGTTATGTACCTGAATATCTGGAAGCAGTTGAACAAGGGAAGCAGTCCCTGTGATAAATCAAGTAGCTGACTGACAATTATTCACTTTACTTAACATATACGAAGGGCTGTAAAAGCTCAGGGACTTTATTCACTAGAAGCAAAGAACCCCTGACCCATTCTTTCAAACAGAACCTTTTTTCTTTAGCTCATGAATGAAGGAAGACCACCACAAGTGGCCCCTGAACAGGGACATGAGATACGGGAACTTAATGAAGAAGGTCTGATGGAGCAGAGGCGGTGAAACTGATGAGACGGATGAGGAACCCCAATATGCCCGCAGTGAATATAAGGTCAGTACCCTAAAGAGGTACTGGAGGGGGAGGTTTCTGAATCAGGGTAGCATGGGGCAGAATTTGTCTACTAAGGAGTAGAAGTATGTGCAGTTGCTTAAAGTTTTACTTACAGAATCTGGTGCTCAGGTCAGTTCTCAAACATTAACTAAGCTTCTGTAGGAAGTCATTACACCTAACTCATGGTTTCCACAAACAGGCACCTCGATGTGGAAAACTGGGACCAGGTAGGAGAAGGTTTGAAATGGGCTCATCAAGGCGGGGCGCGGTGGCTCACGCCTGTAATCCCACCACTTTGGGAGGCTGAGGCGGGTGGATCACGAGGTCAAGAGATCGAGACCATCCTGGTCAACATGGTGAAACCCCGTCTCTACTAAAAATACAAAAAATTGGCTGGGCATGGTGGCATGTGCCTGTAATCCCAGCTACTCAGGAGGCTGAGGCAGGAGAATTGCCTGAACCCGGGAGGCAGAGGTTGCGGTGAGCCGAGATCGCGCCATTGCACTCCAGCCTGGGTAACAAGAGTGAAACTCCGTCTCAAAAAAAAAACAAACAAACAAACTAGAAATGGGCTCATCAAAAAAGTCTTAAAATAGATCCCTGTTTTCTTTGCTTGCAGTTTGGTGCATACTGTTTTCCTGCCATTATCCCTTTCTTTTTCTTTTTTTTTTGAGATGGAGTTTTGCTCTTGTTACCCAGGCTGGAGTGCAATGGCGCGATCTCGGCTCACCGCAACCTCCGCCTCCCGGGTTCAGGCAATTCTCCTGCCTCAGCCTCCTGAGTAGCTGGGATTACAGGCACGCGCCACCATGCCCAGCTAATTTTTTGTATTTTTAGTAGAGACGGGGTTTCACCATGTTGACCAGGATGGTCTCGATCTCTTGACCTAGTGATCCACCCTCCTTGGCCTCCCAAAGTGCTGGGATTACAGGCCTGAGCCACCACGCCCGGCCTCTTTCTTTTTTTTTTTTTTTTAAAGATGGGGGTTCACCATGATGGCCAGGCTGGTCTTGAACTCCTGACCTCAGGTTATCCACTCACCTTGGCCTCCCAAAGTGCTAGGATTACAGGCGTGAGATACCGCGCCTGACCCACCATTGTCCGTTTCTTATTCAAGTGAGTAGCAGGAGCCATGCTCTGACTCTCCAATACTGAAAGAGCCTTCTGGTTCACCAACAGCGCCCACTCAAAGTGAGAAACAGGAGAGAGGGGAGGAGAGCTGGTCTGCACTGCCTCCTTCAGTAGCAGAAACACGCTAGTACAAAAAATTCTGCCCGCTGCAGCTATAGTCGGGGAACCCTTAGGACCTTGTGCTTTTCCTATTACCGTAAGGGCCACTCCAAACAATCCAAAACTTGTTCATAAACACACTCCCGTAGAATTTAAGCTATTAAAAGCTGATGTGGTTAATATGGGGAAGGACAATAATAATAAAGTTCAAAATAACATGCATAAGATGTTACCATTCACTAAAGTTCATTCAGAAGTTATAAAAAGGCTAAGGAATTCAACCTCAGGAGGCATAGCTAACAAGTTGCAGCTGCAGGCTTATCACCTGTCCGCAGACCCCCTCCCTATGCCTCTCTAATTCCTGTGGGGCTTGGGCCCCCGTTCCTAGAAGTGCGGACCGGAGAGCTTTCCTGAGACAAGGGCTCGGCTCTCCCACAGCCCAAGGCCCTTCTACCGGCGCAACAGGTACTGGAAGGAAACCGTAAGACAACTTTCCGCGCAGCGCACGCCGAGAATCACGGTAAGAAAAGAGGGCCCTGCAGAATAAAGAGAGGCTATGGTAGAGGACAGACAGAAATCCTGCCCTACCAGGCAGGTGGGGGACCAGTCACCCCTCAAAGGTTGTCTATTAGCCTGACCCAAAAGGTGGCTGGGAGCAGTGAGGAAAGGACTTCACCAATTCAGGTAGAGATTCAAGCCTGACGCTGGCATAAAGCAGCAGCCACCAGTGTGAGCGAGTCTGAGCCGATGGAGCGCCGAGGGCAGCGGGGCAGAACTTGCTGGTAGGGCGGCAAGAGCAGCTTGCTACCCAAACTGGGAGTGTGTCAGTGGATGTGAACACACCCGGACGCCAGAGAGGCTCAGTTTTGTCCAGTGAGGAGTCCTGGGGTGGCAGAGGTGTGCGGGTGCTGGAGGCGTTTTAAGAGTGGACTGTACATTACCAGCGAAGTGTGGGGCTAACTGGGACTAGGGGTGAACATCCTTAGGGGCTACTGCATACGGCTGAAGGAGGTATTACCCTAGTCTAGGTATTGTGGGGAAGTAATGAACTCTCCAATGTCATGTAGTGTTGGAAACACTCCCACAAGGGAGACAGTCTAATGGGTCCAAAGTGAAAGTGACTGTGCGCCAAGAGGGAGGAAAAGAATCCAAGGAATTAAAGCCCACTCCCTTACAGTGCATGCTAAAGAATTTCCAGACAGCTTACGGTAAAGCTGACACCCCCGCCCCCCAAAGGCGAACTCAGAAATAGAATGGCCTGGTTTTGGCGCAGGTTGGCCGCCAGGGGGCGCCCTTGATTGGCGAATCACCGGCTGGGTTTTTGAAATAACAACAGGGGTAACAGATGAACCTGGACACCCATTTTGTTTCCCAGTTTGCTCCAGACATCCGGAACAACCTTTAAAAAGCCGAAGATGGCCCTCAAACCCCACAAGACTTCCTTAACCTGGAGACTTCCTTAACCTGGTCTTCAATCAATAGACGAGGCTAAACCTCAACAGCCTGGCTGTGGCACCCAGGGGCACAAAAGAAAAGATCCAACAGCAGTGCACCTCCAAGGACATGTTTCAAGTGCAGCAAGGAAGACATTCGGCACAGGCATGTCCCAATCCGTGGGTGCCAAAAAGCCCTTGCTCATCTGCTAGCACACAGGTCACTGGAAGCTGACTGTCCTCACCAGGCAGACAGAAAAGCCTGAACGTCCAACCTGCAACCCCTTCACCAAGACGAAAGGTGAGGAACTGCTCGCACACCCAGTTCCTTGACCTAGCTGCTGAAGACAGCCAGGCCCGGACCTCTGGCCCCATCTACCGTCACTGTATCGGAGCCCAGGTTAACTCTGTCAGTAGCAGATAAGACAATCTTTTTTTTTTTTTTTTTTACAAGCAAAATTCAATCTCATCTTTAATCAATACCCAGGCGACCTACTCTGCTTTGCCTGAATTCCCAGGACCAAATGACCCTCTCAGGTCTCAGTTGTGGAGGAGGTTAAGGAGTCACCTCACGCCCACGCGCCACCAGACCCCTTACATATTCCTTATTTAATACCGTTTTCTCACACTCTTTCCTTACATGCCTCACTGTTCTACTCCCATTCTAGCCGGAACTCCCATCACTAATTATTTACCAACTCTTCCAAGCTGCACACCACCCAGCTAAGGCAAGAATTACACACTGCCGAGGACACCAAACAGGATTAGATGATGTCTCAAGAGGGACCAGAAAGGCCGACAAGGTAGGAAAAGAAGTCTGTTTCCTCTGCCCCTGTCCCTCTCCCCCTCCTCACCCCCACAATTCAAACCCAGTATTCTGCCACCAAAAAACCTTCACTCTTAAAACAAGGAGCCTCCTTCCAAGGGAACTGGATAGCCAAACAAACTGAGGAAATTCTAACATCTCTTATCAATGCACACCCTCTGTACCTTCTCCTTCACCCTTCTAATCCCCACCCCACACCTGTTTACACACTAAAAAAACCAAACTGTCTTGTATGCTCTGTCACTTCCTCTCAAGGAGCCCTCCACTGTCCTCCTATCCCTACACATCAGCTGAGAACGTCTCTCCTCATAACATATCAAATATTAAAAGTCCTCTCCCCTTCCCCATGCACGCGCACACGTCTCAAGAGGAGTTTATCCATTCCTGTTTTTCCCTTTCCTCTACTGCCCACTCAGCTATCCCAGTTTCTCAGCCCTAGGACCATATTCCCATTCGCTTCTCACACACCATCCAAAAAGGCTCTGCCTTTGTAGACAGAGCCTTCACCCTGACTATCCCACTGTCCTTGGTAACAGAGCTACCAAACTTCTCTCCACATATACTGCCGATTATGACCACGCAAAACTCCCTCACCCTGCCATCGAAAGTCCCGTAACTCTGTATACCCCAAAACGTGGCCAAGCCCCCATATGTGTCACCTCTTTCAACAAACACATACACATAGGCACCATCCCTCCCTCTGCCTGTGGTTCTACTCAAACCATCTCCCATCCCTCACTCTCCCCTGAAGCTAACGGCGCTTTTACCCAGCCCCTCCACATTACCTCCTCTCCTGCCTCTCAAACATGGAAACCCCTTCCTGAGACAGGAGTCCTCAAAGGGGTCTCTCTTTCCTCCTCACTCAGGGTTGCTAAAGCTGGACCAGTTCCCTCCAAATAAGGAACCTACACACTCCAACACCTATTCTCAATCCCTTGTCCATTTACATTAACACCAGAGGCATCTTCTTCCTCTGAGATCTACAACCTATTTGTCTCCCTACCAACTAGACAGGTACTTGCACCCTAACCTACCTCCATTAAATTAACCTTGTCCTCCAAACTAAAAAACTCCCTGTCCCTACTATACTGCACGCCCACCCCCACTAAAAAAATACATCGTTCATTCCCTTATTAGTAGCCCTTGAAGTCACAACTAGTGTCGGGTTAGGAGCAGGAAGTCTAAAAACCTTGTTATATTTCTAGTAGCTCTCCCAAAATTTCCAATCGTCAGTAAAAAAAAAAAGAAACCATAGCAAAGTCTATCACTAACCTTCAAAACCAACTAGACTCTTTAAAAGCAATCACTTGGCTGGGCGCAGTGGCTCAAGCCTGTAATCCCAGCACTTTGGGAGGCCAGGGCGGGTGGATCACGAGGTCAAGAGATCGAGACCATCCTGGTCAACATGGTGAAACCCCGTCTCTACTAAAAATGCAAAAAAAAAAAAAAAAAAAATTAGCTGGGCATGGCGGTGCGTGCCTGTAATCCCAGCTACTCAGGAGGCTGAGGCAGGAGAACTGCCTGAACCCAGGAGGCGGAGGCTGCGGTGAGCCAAGATCGCGCCATTGCACTCCAGCCTGGGTAACAACAGCGAAACTCTGTCTCAAAAAAAAAAAAAAAAAAGCAATCCCTTTACACAAACCTCAGAGGCCTAGACCACCTCACTGCTGGGGGGCTGGGGGGGGTGGAATTCTGTGCCTCTTTTTAAATAACCAGTGCTGTTTTTACCTCAGTAAATCTAGATTACTACAAAATACTATCAAAAGGCTCAAAGACCAAACCCAAAAATTTAAGACATTCTACTGCCTGGCCCTGCTGGCCCGGTTGGTCTCTCAGCTCCTGGGCTCCCTGGCTGCTTCCCCTCCTCTTGGTCTTTGGTCCTTACCTCTTACGACTTTTCACACAGTTTTTTGCAGAATCAATTAGAAGCTTTTGCCCGTGGCACATTACAGGACATGATGGTGTTCCAGGACTACCAACTTGCAAGCCAGTCTCACCCCAGCCAGTGTCCCTACTCAGCGCCCCTTTTCACACACAAACACACACACGGCGCCCCTTTTCACACACAAAAACAAACGGCGCCCCTTTTCACACACAAACACACACACACACACAGAGACATACATCAATCAAAAGGCTGGAATTGTAGGGTCACAGCAAGGCAAGCCCACAGACCCCCCTCGCCATTCTCCCCTGCTAAGCCAAACTCAGGCCCTGTAAACGGGGCACCTACGTTCCAGGATGTGGTCGCACCCGGCTCTCAAACCCAGAATACTGACCCAATTAAGCAGAATGTTTGCCCTTAAGAACCAAGATGTGGTTTTTCTTAGAATAGCACCTGGCTCCCTGCTAACTCCTGTATAACCCTCACAGTCTGTGCGCCAGGCTGCTGCCTTAACTGCCTGGGGTGAGGCAGCCAGCCTCGCCCGTTGAAATAAACTTGCTAAACCAGACCCTAGGTCTGCCTCCCCATCCTTTTAGTCAACCTTACAACAGCTTAAAGCTATTACCAGTGCTGTCTGTGAAAAGTGCTTAACTCGCACACAGAACAACCCTAGACAAGGACCAGTCTGGCCCCCAGGAATTCACCTGCTGTGAGAACCTGACTGTAGATTTTACTGAGTTACCCTGTAAGAGTTCTTAAGTATTTATTGGTCTTTCTATGCACCTGTTCCAAGTGGGTAAAGCTTTTCCCCAACTGAAAAGGCCTGAGAAGCAACTGGGTGTTACTAGCACACATTATTCACAACTTTGAGGCACCTTTGAATATCGGGTCAGATAATGGCCCGCTATTTGTAGCTGAAGTTGTTCAACACCTATCTAGTTATTAAAAACAAGATGGAAGCTGCATACTGCATACTGTCCCAACAGTTAAGGAAAAGTTGAAAGGATGAACCAAGCAATAAAGCAATTGTTAAAAAAACTTCTGTCGGCCGGGCGCGGTGGCTCAAGCCTGTAATCCCAGCACTTTGGGAGGCCGAGGCGGGTGGATCACAAGGTCGAGAGATCGAGACCAACCTGGTCAACATGGTGAAACCCCGTCTCTACTAAAAATACTAAAAATTAGCTGGGCATGGTGGCACGTGCCTATAATCCCAGCTACTCAGGAGGCTGAGGCAGGAGAATTGCCTGAACCCAGGAGGCGGAGGTTGCGATGAGCCGAGATCGCGCCATTGCACTCCAGCCTGGGAAACAAGAGCGAAACTCCGTCTCAAAAAAAAAAAAAAAAAAAAAAAGACTTTAAAGGGGGGAATGTGGAAGCTTTACTGTCTCCAGACTCCTGCTTATCTCTGTAATTCCTGTCTAGTAGCAAGGTTGACAAGTCAATATAACAAAATTATAAGTTTTCTCAGAATTGTCACGAATTAAATAATTTACGGTCTTTGTCTGAAACTGTGGAAACACTGGGCATTTTAAGAAGGAATGTCCTCAGACTAATGGCAAAAGGGATCTTACAACGCGGTATCCCTGCCAACAGAAAAAATGCCAAGAATTTGCGCTCAGTGTAGTGAAGGAAACCATTGGGCTAATCAATTCCGCTCAAAATTTCATCAGAATGGCACTCCTATGTCAGGAAACAAAAGTGTGATGGGGGGTGGAGGGGGAGGTGGATCCAGCTCCCTCAAACAATGAGGGCACTTCCCATCCAGACCACAACCCCACTTCAGGGGTGGGTCCTCGGAGGAACATATTCCCTCTCCACAGAACATCTGGAAGTGCAGGATTAGATCTCCCAGTTAGAGAACAAGTCACGTTACTTGGAGAAGACAGACCCACCTTTTGGGGACCTTTGCCAACAGAATATTATATGGAATTAATCGTGGGTAAAAGCCATCCTAACTTACAAGGCATTACCATTGTCCCTGGAGTTGTTGACTGACTGTGAAGGAGAAATTCAAGTAATTGTCACAGGATCTCTGGGTTTTTGAACCAGAAGAATATATTGCTCAGCTATTGCTTATTCCCTGCAAGTCACACCCTTCTCGAAGAAAAGCGAGACGGGATAAAATCAAGGATTTGGGAGTACAACTACACGGGAAATTCACCTCTCCCAGCCCACAGATTCTAATCGACCTGTGCAAATTAAAGGAAAGAAGTTTTGTGGGCTTACGGACATGGGAGCGGACGTGTCAGTAATATCTAAAAACAACTGGCCCTCATCTTGGCCTTTACAATTGGTCTGTACATCCTTAGTGGGAGTAGGAACAGCTCAAAGTGTTCCGCAGAATACTAAAATTTTACCCTGCCTCCGTCCAGATGGGCAATCATGTACTTTTTTTTTTTTTTTTTGGAGACGGAGTTTCACTCTTGTTGCCCAGGCTGGAGTGCAATGGCGCGATCTCGGCTCACCGCAACCTCCGCCTCCTGGGTTCAGGCAATTCTCCTGCCTCAGCCTCCTGAGTAGCTCGGATTACAGACATGCGCCACCATGCCCAGCTAATTTTTTGTATTTTTAGTAGAGACAGGGTTTCACCATGTTGACCAGGATGGTCTCGATCTCTTGACCTCATGATCCACCCGCCTCGGCCTCCCAAAGTGCTGGAATTACAGGCTTGAGCCACCGCGCCCGGCCGCAATCATGTACTTTTCACACATGTTGCAAATATAGGTGTTAATCTGTGAGGCCGAGACATACTTACACCATGGGATATGAGACTTATGAATGAGCAAATTGATAGTCTAGGATTTAAAATGTTGAAAAAGATGGGTTATCAGAGCGGAAAAGGCTTAGGAAAGTCCCTGCAGGGAAGCCCTGATCCATTATCTATAATTGGGCAAACAAACAAAACAGCTAGGCTTTCAAAATTTCTTGGGTGCATTGCAACAAGGTTTACTGTCCCTAAAAGCCATTCCAACAGATCTCAGATTTTGTTCTACTATACTATTGCATGAGAAGGACAAGCCTCAATTTGCATTCTCTGTGCCTTCTATTAGAGAGAGCCTGTCTCTCACTATCAGTGCAAAGTTTTACCCCAAAACATTCTCACCAGTCCTACATTATGCCAGCATTTTGTAGGAAAAGCATTAAAGGAGCCTTGAGTATGTTTCCCACCCCTTACGTCACTCATTACATGGATATTCTTTTGGCCACTGCTACAAATCAAATACTACACCAGCTATGTAGAGAAATAAAACGAGCCCTGACTAAGTGGAATCTCAAAATAGCTCCTGAAAAGGTGCAAACGACCTCCCCATATGAGTACATAGGAACTACTGTTATTGAAAGAAGTTTTAGGCCTCAAAAAGTAGCTCTTTGTAGAGACAGATTACAAACTCTGAATGATTTCAGTAATTATTGGGGGATACTAATTCGCTGAGCCCAGTGCTAGGTATTGCTTAACAACTCAAACACCTCTATCAAACACTCCAAGGAGATTCTTCATTAGATTCTCCCTGGAAAGTTACTAAGGAGGCAGAAGCTGAGTTGCAGCTTGTAGACAGAACAAGTGCTTCAGGAATGACATGCCTACTGACTCCACCCACAAAAGCCTCTGTGTTTATTCTTCCCACTCTCCATTCTCCAAGAGGACTCTTCTTTTTTTCTTGGCGGAGTTTTGCTCTTTCACCCAGGCTGGAGTGCAATAGCTCAATCTCGGCCCTGCTGCAACCTCTGCCTTCTGATTTCAAGCCATTCTCCTGCCTCAGCCTTCCAAGTAGCTGGGATTACAGGTGCCCACCATCACACCTGACTAATTTATGTATTTTTAGTAGAGACGAGGTTTCACCATGTTGGCCAGGCTGGCCTCGAACTCCTGACCTCATGATCTGCCCACCTCAGCCTCCCAAATTGCTGGGATTACAGGTGTGAGCCACCACTTTTAGGAAGGTTCATAGACAAGATTATAATGGTAATAGAATCACTTTTTCTATCCAATCAGACAGTCAAATCCTTCCAAGTTTACCTTTCTTTAATCACAAAACTTACAACAACAGCCAAACTAAATCAAAAATGCTTACAGGATATGACCCTGATTAAGGGTGTTATCTTGGATTCACAACAGCAGGCTGTGGAATGCATGGCAAATCGCCCTCACAGATTTTGTAGGAGTTATAGACAACCATTATCTTTCAGGTAAGATTACACCCTTAAATCCTCCCTGTGATTACTCATCACAAGCCTATTCCAGGTGGACAGAATTATTTTACTGATGGCTCTTCTAAAGGCGGTACAGGTATTTATGGAACTAAACATGCTCAAACAATCAAAACCCCTGAAGTTTCAGCTCTACGTTCAGAATTACTGGCAGTTGTTCAGGTTCTGCAGCTCACAGCTTTATCCCCTATTAATATTGTCTCTGATTCGGCTAGCCAGTCGCACTGAGAGTGCCACTATTAAAAGCTCCGTAGAACCAG